GTGCTAGAACAAGGGCCAGCAAGCAGTGACAGGCGCTCAAAGATTGGCATGTGCAGGGACAACAGACGTGCCAGCCTTGTTGTGCGGGCGTGGCTGCCCCACTCTACGCGCGCTCTCTGTGCCTCAGCAGTGACACGTACCGCTCACGCCCGCTCATTGTCCCTGGCACCAACACTTTGACCTGCTGGTGTACGGTGAGCATGCTGTCAAATGAGCTACAAATGGCACCATCAGGAAGCTGTGATAGGGGCATTTGATGTAGTCAAATTAGATCTGCCAGAACAAGTACCTGCAAGCGGCGACAAGATCTCAAAGATGGGCCTGTGCAAGGACAATGAGCATGTTGGTGCTGGCGTGCGCGTGTGGCTGCACCACTGTACGCATCAAGACCTCTTGTCTTTCACTACAGACAAGGCTTGTTACACGTAGCAAAGGGCCTTCTTTGCGCCAGTGACACTTGTTCCACCATGCACAAGAGCTACACTTGGCTTGCTGTGCGTCAACAAGGCAAGTACTGCCCATGACAAGCGCACAACTTGCTCTGTAGCACGCTCCAAAGCTATAAAGATGGGATGTGAGATGCTCTCATGTCCAAATCTCCTCGTCAATCACTCACTCAAACACTCACTACTCAGCGCACAGCACCCACTCTTGCCCAAACCTCCCTTCCCCTCAACAAACTTCAACATGTCTACCACAACTGTTCCCACCACTGAGCAGCGTGCTCAAGCGCTCGCTCTCCAATACCCATATCTCCCTCAGTGGCAGGTCATTATTTGCCTGCAGTGCGCAAGCTGCGTGCGTCCAGGTAAGGATGCCATTACTCGACACCTGTACAAGCACAGCGTGACTGGGCCAGAATTAACAGTGCTTGTCAACCTGCTGGCTGATCACAAGGTGCTTGGCCCTCAAGCGCCACGCACAGAGTGGCCCACAGCCCTCATCAAGGAGCTTGCTGTTCATGATGGCTACCAAAGCACTTATGGATGCACAGATGCTTTTAGGACACTTGACAAGGTCAAGCAGCACATAGCTCATGCGCACACATCAGAGTCAGCCAGATCAGCTGATGCACTGCTTTGGAGACGGTGCACAGTGCAGACCTTTTACTCTGACAATCAGGCAGTGCGCTACTTTGCTGTAGCACTGCCTCCCACGCCTGGTCCCACTCAGTCACAGTCGCAAGATGTCCCTCTGGCTGAGGAGGCCTTCTTTGCTGCGCTCCAAGCAGACAAGCAGCAGGCTGAGCATGACGCTCAGGAGCATGCCCTGCGCATTCATGGCTTTGGTGCGCATCACTCTAGTGCGGTGCCATGGCTACAAAACACTGGCATTGAGAAGCACATGTGTGGACTACACAAGCAGGAGATCCAGGCTTAGGGTTAGGGTTAGGGTTAGGGTTACAAGGGTGTCCCGTTTTAGGGTCGGAGATGTTTCATAGCCAGTTTGTAGAGCACGTTGAGGAGTGTCTTGTGGCAGAGAAGTTTTGGATTTGCGATAGCCGTTTTTGCGTGAGGAGGCGCAAAGTGCAAGTGCGGGGTGATTTTGGCTGGTGGGTTAGGGTTACAAGGGGGTCCCCAATAGGGTTTTTGGAATTTGTGTTATAGGCATCTAGAGGGGCCTCAGGAGAGCCATTTGGTAAAGCAGCGCCCAAAAGCCTACAGATTTGATGGCGTGAGGTCCATCTAACCTCATGATGGTCTGGTTAGAGTGCCTAACTTGGTCATCTTTGAGAAAAGTGCTTCTTGTCTGTTACAGTGACTTACATGAGGCTGTGGCATGAGACTTTCTGGAATTGGATTGCACAAAAGTCTTTCAGGGAGGGCACAAAGTGCGTCTAAGTTCAGCTTGGTACCTTAAGTTCAGTCATCTTCAGCATACTTGACACAAGTTGAGCATCAAGTTGGGGCAAGATGATCTGATGTTGGCTCATGTTTCCTGAACTTGACACAACTTCTGGTGGGCACTGAGGGGGCAAAGGGGGGACCCTTTGGATTGGGGACAGATGCCAAAAAGTGTGCTTAGGGGTGCATCTTCAGGGAAGTTCAGCTCCAGAAGGAGGAAGATGAACCAAGATGAGGGAAGATGGCCTGATGTTGGCTCATGTTGCCTGAACTTGACACAACTTGTGATGAGCATTGAAGGGCAAAGGGGGGACCCTTTGGTCTCAGACCAGATGGCAGAAGTGTGTGGTGGTGCAACTTCAGGGAAGTTCAGCTCCAGAACAAGGAAGATGCAGGAAGTTGAAGGAAGATGAACAGACATGGGCTCATGTTGCCTGAACTTGGCACAACTTCTGATGAGCATAAGGGGGGAAAGGGGGGACCCTTTGCTTTGAGAACAAGTGGCAGGCAGTGTGTCTGATGGTGCAACTTCAAAGAACTTGAGCTCATCTTCATCTTCAATGTGGGAAGATGCAGCAAGTTGAAGGAACATGAGCAAACATATGCTCATGTCATCTGAAGTTGAGGGAAGTTCTGCAGGGGTTTGAGGCAGGCAAAGGGGTGACCCTTTGGATTGGAGACAAATAATGTGGAGCTTGCATGAGGGTGTATTTTCAGGGAAGATCAGCTCATCTCCAGCTCTGGCTGGGGGCCGTGCAGAAAGATGAAGGAAGATGAGCAAACATTGGCTCAAGTAGTCTGAAGTTGAGGGAACTTCTGGTGGTCAATGGCAAGGCAAAAGGGGGACTCTTTGAAATGGTGGTAGGCTGGCAGGACTTGTGTCAGGTAGTGCATGTTCCAGGAAGCTGAGCTGATCTTCAGGCTGATGCTTGATGGTGCTGGAAGTTGAGTGAAGATGAGCTGTTGCACCACTATCACAGATGAAGTTCAGGGAACATGAGTGGTTGCTCTGATGTTTTGGATGAAGTTCATGGAAGATGAGCTGTTGCAGTGATATTTCATCTGAACTTGAGGGAAGATGAGCTGTTGCAGTGATATTCCACCTGAAGTTGAGGTAAGATGAGCTGTTGCACTGTTATCTCACACAGAGTTGAGGGAAGATGAGCTGTTGCACTGTTATCTCACACAGAGTTGAGGGAAGATGAGCTGTTGCACTGCTATCTCACATGAGATGTGCTGAAGATGAACTCAAGTTGACTCAAGTTCCCTACACTACAGCTGATACCACTGATGTCTCACCTGAAGATGAAGGAACCTCAGGGAAGTTCAAATGATGAAGACATATTGCACTTGAGACTGCATGAATGCAGGGGAAGCAGATGAGACAGAGTAGAGTGGTCTGCACATGCAGCCTATACACAAGACTTGGCATGAGATGACTACATATACTGGAAGATGAGAGAAGTTGACTGATCTTCCCAGAACTTGCCCTGCATTTGGGAGAAGTTGCTGCATCTTGACTCAAATTGAGCTCATCTTCAAAGAAGATGTGGTGGCAAATGGGCAAGTTTGCTGAACTTCTGCATGCAGTGAAACATCACCCAAAAATTGGCCCAAAAAGGTATATATAGAGGGGGTTTTGTCTCCTTATTTTCTTCCCCCCATCACCAGCACTTTTTCCATCTCTGTGCCAAATCCATCTGCTGCCTGAACTTCACCTCAACTTCCTGTTATTGTGACACCCACATCCCCAAACTCAGCCAACTTCCCTAATCCTCCTGCAACTTCCAGCAATCAGCAGTCTCAGCACCTGAAGTTCAACCAAACTCTCCTCTTTGAGGGTGAAGTTCCCTGAACTTGAGGTGTCCAGCCTAGGTGAGTGCATGTGTTCATCAAAGTGCAGCTGAACTTCTTTTTGCTTGATGAAACTTGCTGACAGGTTGGTGAACTTCCAGCACTTTGTCCTCACTTTGGGTCAAGTTTCCTCATCTTGCTTGAACTTGAGTCTCAGGTGAGCCTTACTGAGACCCATTTTGTGCATAGTCAGCCAATCAGAAGCTGAATTTGCCTGAACTTCCCTGCTCTTGACTCAACTTCACCAGAACTTCAAGTGAATTTGAGGCAAGCAGGTCTCAACTTCAGCCCAACACCCAGCATCTTCTGTGAACTTCAAGCAAGCACCATCCAGCACTCCTCAAGAGTACCAGCAGATTGAGGTTCTGCCAACTTTTGGTCTTTGGAGGTGAAGTTCCTTGAACTTGAGGTGTTCAGCCTAGGTGAGTGCATTTGTTTATCAAGGTGTAGCTTAAGATCCTTCTACTCTATAGAATTTGCTGACAGATTGGTGAACTTCATGCACTTTCACCAAACTTTTAATCATCTTCCATCAACTTGCTTCAACTTCAGGCCCAGGTGAGTCTTGTTGAGGTTCTAGGGTTAGGGTTAGGGTTACATACGGGTTCCCAAAGGGATTGAAAAGGGTTAGGGTTAGGGTTAGGGTTAGGGTTAGGGTTAGGGTTAGGGTTAGGGTTAGGGTTAGGGTTA